TAGTCCGATCGGCGTACAGAGTCCAATGGCAACGATCTACCCAAACACATGCAAATAGATTGGCGAGTCCGGCTAGTTCTCAGCTCCCAGAAATCTGGACTAAACTTTGGAAACTCAATATTCCATGCAAAGTTGCTATATTTTGCTGTAGGGCACTACATGGAATATTTCCTCTAAAATCAATACTAGCGAACATGCATGTTGGATCTGACGGAGGATGCCCAGTTTGCCATGGGGCGGCCGAGGATATTAAGCATCTTCTATTTGGATGCCTGCATGCAAAGGAGTTATGGCGAAATCTGGGAATATCAGAGATCATTGAAGAGGCAATTCAGGTCGAGCAATCAGGGTCGGTGATCCTGGAAACATTACTGTTAAGGACTGATCACTCAATGCCTTTGAAACCGAGCCTAGATGTTAAACAAGTTATTGCTGTTGGAGGATGGTATCTATGGTGGATCCGGCGTGAGTTAACACACAATGGATCACCCCCGCTACCCCAAAGATGGCCTATGTCAATAATGGCGATTGCAAACAATTTCAATGAAGCTAACCGAAAAGTCCAATAGAACCATGTTCAGAGGTGGTTGAAACCTAGTAGCAAATTTGTGAAAGTTAATGTAGACGCATCCTTCTATGAAAATGAGCACGCTGGGGCAACAACAACTGTGACTCGGGACAATAAAGGTAATTTTCTGGCAGCCCATTGCAGATTTTTACCTCATGCAGCGGATGTGTTAACCGCGGAGGCCTTAGCTATGAGGGATGGACTTGCATTTGCAAATTCTCTTGGTTTTCCTAGAGTGGAGGCAGAATCAGACTCGACAATGGTGATCGAAAACTGCTCGGGGCAGACCAGATGGTGGGACGCAGCGGCGGTCATCTTCGCGGAATGTGTAGACGTTTCAATGCTTATTGGGAAGGTTATCTTTAAACATTGTAGTCGTACTTTGAACCAAGCAACTCATGTGCTAGCTAGTCATAGTTTTTGTAATAAGATTAGTAGAAGCTGGACGGATGATCCCCCAGCTTGTGTCATTCCAAAACTTCTGGATGATGTAATTCCGGTTTAATTTTGCAATAAAGCTAGCCATGATGGCCTTTCCTAAAAAAAGGATCAGTGACACCCAAATGTTGAGCACACCACCTCCCTGCAATGAAGGGTCCATTGTGATCTCGCGCGACATAGATTAATCATAAACATGGTGTTAAGCTTCACCACGCCCGTCCCATGTGGTCTCCAAATAGCTCTGCTCGGCTTTGGTACCCGGGGTTTGGACGACACGTCCAATGCTCTAATTAGCTCTTCTATGACCTCCATTGAGCAGTTGGGTTGGTATTTAATCTCCTCGTGTGTGTGTGTACTTGTTTCGGTTACTCCACACGGCCCACATAACGGATGTTGCAATGGCTGCACTCTCTTGACCGGTGAAAGTTGGGTATAGCAGATCTCTCGTCCATGTCATAGGATGCATTATGGTCCGGAGGAAAGGATAGGTTCCATGCGGTCGTAAGGTGCACCCAGGCAAGCGTCTTGCATTATGTCATGAGGGAAATCTAGCCGTTTTTTGACCAATGAGGGTTTTTCGCGTACTGACCAAGACTGGCCACTTCTCCTATTATTAGACCGTGTCATCGCCACAACCAGATCATAGGTATTCCTACTTTTTGGAGAGCGTGGTACATGAGGAATGATATCAATGTCTTCAAAAGAAGAGTTCACCACTGTTGCACCCAAGCCGTTCTTGGGAAGCTATGTTGACTCTCTCCTCGGAGCTAAACATGGGTATAGTGCTTGATAGTTGATATACAAAAGGCAAGGAACTTGTCAATGCATATGTTCGGTATTCTTTCTGTTGCGAAAGATAAGTGGTCAGATATTGGACATCGCCTCTAGCGGAGTTGGGTGAAAATTAATACGGATGAAACTTTTAACCAAGTAGATGGAGTGGCGTGCACAGGTAGTCAGAGATGGACACATTGAAGTACTACTCTCATCGAATTGAGTCCTGCCAGGATGCTTCAACATTGAAGAAGTGGAAGCGCTAGATTGTCTTGAAAGCATATGCCTATGCACGGACTCGATATGCAAGCCGACACGGATTGATAGGATTGCGTCATGGTGGTAGGTATGTTAAAGGATATGAAAAATGACACGCTTTCCATTTTGCAAGTGGTGTTGGAAGCTACGGTGGCGTTGAATTTGCTGCCAGTTTTCAAGGTTTCTAAAGTTTAGAAATAATACAATTACACGCCAAATAGCTAGGTTGGACAAAAGAGTTTTCTTTTATTTTGTTATGAGTGTGTTTATGATTAATCTATGTCACGTGCAAAGCGTTAGTCAACTTCCGCATGGAAGAGATTAGCCGCCTCCAGAGTTGTTGGATTCATTGTGCGACATGCGTCTGATTTGGACCTCTTCAACCTAGCTCACGAGTGTTTGCAACATGAGCCATTTTGGTGCTTGGAGGTTTGCAACATGACACATGTTGCACCCGCCTTTGTAAACATGCCAGCCTTTTTTGATTGTTGCAACATGCCCTGTGTTGCCACCGCAACAAATACCTTGGTGACCGACACACGATCAATTATCAGTCGGTTGAGTGTGAGCATTTTCCTTAATAATCTATAAAGCTATATTCTCTAAAAATATAAAAAATAATTGTTTAACCAAGGAGCCCCTTTTTAGAAAAAAAAATAAGTAAACAGAACGTGGAGTATCTGCTCCCGAGCTCAAATGCTCCCAGATGAACAGTAAAATCAAAATATGGTAAACAAATGCAAAAATTCCAAACAAATGTGGTAAACTTTGACAAATGTTTTGTGTGCTTGATTTTTTTATCACGAAAGGACATTCATGAAAGTCGTTGCAAAAAAAAAAGATGCTGCAAAAAAAATTCTATTTTTGAAAGCATTTTGGAGTATCGATTTTGTTTTTTCATGACCTAAATGTCATTTTGTGATGAAAATTTGCAAGTATACAAATGCATTTGTCAAAGTTGGTCACATTTATTTTCTTCATTTCTTTAATTTTACTATTCACCCCGAGCTCATTTGAGATCAGGAGCAGAAGAGGACTTTCGGTATTACGGAGATCGGCACTTCCCAATCGCAAAGGACGAAGAAGAGCATTTGCAGACTGGGTCTTTTACCCTCTTGATACATTAGTATATATAGGGCCCACATGTCCGTGACATGTTTTAGAAGTAATCCTCGAGTTTCAGTTCCTTTTTCCTCACCAACTAAACCATAACAGTTGTTATGTGTTGCCTGTAAAAAAAACAGTTCTACGGAGATTACATATCTTCCAATAAAAACATCGCCAACTGTTGAACCGCCACCTCCCCTGCCTCCCATATATTGTATACTCCTATAACAACTTATCCTTTTATATTTTTCGCAAAAAATGGTTATCCTACGATATGGTTATGTTTTTGGTGTGATATATTATCTTGTTTTTTTGAAAGGGATATATTTCTTGTTACATGGCTGAAAACATTTATTGACCTATTTTCTAGGGAAAAGATATATGTATATGTTAGACCATCCGCTCCATCAAGACCACAAGATGGGCACAGCAAGATCTGAGCCGTCCATCAGCCTCCTCCTCTGCTGCCGCCCGTATATATACGCCACACAGCCACAATCCCCAGCGCAGGAGGGTTCTGGTCCAGCGCTGAAGAAGCGGAAAACCCCAGGCGCCCAACGACCTTCCTTCCGGCGAAACCATCCTCCGACTCCTCCCTCATCTCCCTGCTCGCCGAGGCTCAGCTCAGGGTGACCGATCTCTTCCCCCCGTCTCTCGTCGGAATTACGCGGTAGATCAGATTGATGCATTGCGCGCCGTCTAGGTTTTCTGGATGGGCTCTCTCCATGTCTTTTGTTGTTCGCCTTCTTGTGTTCCGCCGGTCGCAAGATTTCCCCCCTTGTAGGTCCCCATCGGTGGAACATAGCTGCAATTTTGCGCAAATTCTTAGTTTTTTCTGAGAGGGAGTGGCCCTGCTTCAGATGGCAGAGGGTGATCTTTGAAAATTCGAGACGGATTTGGTCGATTGCTCAATCAATTGCCTGATGGTATCGTGGTTTCGTCCAACATGTGCGCCCCTGTGGGTTGTAATCGATCGTGATGTGTTATGCGTCGTGCTTTCTTGATCGCTTCTTAGGTGTAGTTATAGTTTGCAGGCCCTTGAATTTGCGAGCAGGCCATTAAAGAGTAGATTGCGGAATTTTGGGGTTCTTTGTGAAATAATAGTTGATTTTTCAGTGTCTAATTGCAGATTTTTAAGCTGCTTGGTAGTCAGATTACTTTGGTAATTAAACCCCTACGCGGTCGTCTTGCGGGCTAGCCTGAGTTGTCATGTATTCGTATGGCTGTATCTCTCCATAGTTTGTACCATTCGATCCAAAATAAGTTCCCCAGTCTTGAACTGGGGTTAGTTCACAACTGCCACACTTTTTGTGGATCGGAGGTAGCACCTATTAGCTCCCAGGAATTCCAACCAAGTGGCCCCTTCACCTCTGATTTAAGTCACCCACTGCACTTGGCTTATTTCTTTCACAATTCACCAATCTGTACCTAGTTATTCTGGCAAAGCTGTACTTCGTAGTTATATTTGTCTGGATTTTTCTTCAGTTGTTTTGTTCTGTCTTATGGTAACTGGTTTTGAAAGCATGTGTTGCATCATGAATTTATGCATGTATTTTCAGAGGTCTCACTGTTTCAACTTGTAATGGTATTACGAATTGGTCACGAACCCTATTTGTAATACTCTTTGCTTGAAGTAGGATAATATGAAATGTTATGTACTGGCCAAGGTTGCCACCTGTAATGTGTGAACCACAACGTGTACAAGTTTAGCACGCCATATACCTGTAGTCTTATTGATGGTTATCCTTGGATGATGAACAATTCATCTTTGCCTTTGCAGTCTGCACAGTCGACATTTATGACTTCACTGAACTTTATTTAATTACTATCTTTTCCATTGTGCAGATAAACCATGGGTGGCGTTTTGGGTTTAGTGCAGGTTGATCAGTCAACTGTTGCTATCAAAGAAACTTTTGGGAAGTTTAATGAGGTCCTGGAGCCTGGTTGCCACTTCTTGCCTTGGTGCATAGGGCAACGGATTGTTGGTTACCTCTCACTGCGTGTGAAACAGCTAGACGTCCGATGTGAAACCAAAACAAAGGTATTGTCTTGTATCATCGTATCTGTACTTATTTAATAACTTGCTGAAGCAATCTTAACAAATGAAAATCACTTACAATGTTCCCATTTGGGTGTTTTCTCTGTTCTACAAATGAAAAACACTTTCCTTCTTCTTTCAACTCTGATATCTTAATCTGTGCCCATTCAGGATAATGTCTTTGTGACTGTTGTTGCTTCTGTCCAATACCGTGCCCTTGTTGATAAGGCATCTGATGCCTTCTACAAACTGAGCAACACAAAGCAACAAATCCAGTCGTACGTCTTTGATGGTAAGTTACTGTCCACGAAATTTCGCTAAATGTTTTGACTACATCCCTTGTCTGTGTCCAGGTTTAGCCTTATGTTCGTACTTTTATCCTCAGATATTTAACTGAAGCTGCAGATTTTCTATTTCAAATGGTTGTCAATTTACTGAGATTCACGTGCTTCCTTTAGTATGCTTGTTAACACCAGTTTCTTGTTTAACTTTTAATCCAAAGGATAAGATTTGTATGCTTTTTACCCTTTTGTGTGCAATTAGTACTCATAAAGCTATGTGTCTTGTTTCAGTTATTAGAGCCACTGTCCCAAAGCTGGAGCTGGACGATGCATTTGTGCAGAAAGATGACATTGCAAAAGCTGTTGAAGAGGAGCTTGAAAAGGTTCTTGTTCACTGTCCTGTTGTCCTAGAGCAGAGAGATTATCTTGACTGACCTGTTTTGCAAATGTTGTAGGCAATGTCTATGTATGGGTATGAGATTGTGCAAACTCTGATAGTTGACATTGAGCCTGATGTGCATGTCAAGAGGGCAATGAATGAGATCAATGCAGGCAAGTCTAATGCTCATTTGCTTTCAATCCACATACATCAGATTAAACTGGCAGCAAAACATATACTAGATGATTTGATGCGTGCTCAGAATTGTCTTTTGCATATCTAACATGAATGTGGTTTTGTGAAACAGCTTCTAGGATGAGGTCGGCAGCCAACGACAAAGCAGAGGCTGAAAAGATTCTCCAGATTAAACGAGCAGAGGGAGAAGCCGAGTCAAAGTACTTGGCTGGTGTGGGCATTGCAAGGCAGCGTCAGGCTATCGTGGATGGTCTGAGAGACAGCGTCCTCGCCTTCTCTGAGAACGTCCCTGGCACCACTGCAAAGGACATCATGGACATGGTTCTGGTTACCCAGTACTTCGACACCATGAAAGAGATTGGGGCCTCGTCCAAGTCTTCTTCGGTGTTCATCCCCCATGGTCCTGGGGCCGTCAAGGATGTGGCATCGCAGATCAGAGATGGGCTCCTTCAGGCCAACACTCTCTAAGAGGAGGACCATGGAAAGGGATAGCTTCTGTTTTGCAAGAGTTGTGAAGTTCTTCATCATTCACCATTACCCTAAAAACATATTTTACGCGATAGATATTTGGCAAGGTCGTGAGTAATTTATCTACCTGTGTGAGCTACTACGTTAAGTTGTGAATTTTAGTGTGAACTACTACCTAGATAATCAGACTTGCATGGAGTGGGTTTCTGTAAGAAAAGTTTAGCCAGATTCCTGAATGCTACTTGTTGCTACTTGCAAGTGAGCCTGGATGCTGACCAGTCTTATCTTAATTATTATTTGGTGATAACTATGGTATTTGTGTTTTGTGATGAGTTTATCTCGGTTGGATTGAGCAGATGACTTGCTTTGGAGCCCTCATCAGAATGAGGTGCAGTTGTTCTCGGATATTGGCAATAGCAGATTTTGATGGATCCATCATGTGAATGAAAATTGCTACAATTGCAGTCCACACTCTTAATTCCTGATAAAGTGTATAACTGTACAACTGCACACTGTAAATTCAATACAGTTTATCAAGCATGTATGTACACATGATAAAGCTTGGTCTTGTACTGGTAGCACTGACACTGAGTATGCTTGTGGCAAACTGATGCAACTCCAGTGCCCTGCCTGGTTGAAGGTCAAGGGCACCAGGTTCGCAGGCTTCTGATGGAGCAAGTTGGGCACGGCGATCGGGCATCGGACTTGACGCTGAGACCCTGCAGCTTCCAGGCGTCCATGTACTCCATCCTCCACTCTTCCCGTAGCTCCGCAGAATCGCGGCACCACTGCCTGGTGAGTGTAATTCAGGTCACGGGTTACCGATCAAAAACAACTGCTCCTATTGCATACGCTGAACAAAACACAAACAGCTCAAGATTTTGTGCCTCAGAAGCCGTCCGTAAGTTGATCGGCACAAACCTACAGCAGGCAATCTGTCGAACACCGCGCGTGCAGGAAGAGGGGGAGCTGACCTGCAGACGAGGGAGCAGCTGAGGAGGTCGACGCAGTCCAGCTGCGAGAAGACCCGGGAGATCACGTCCGCCGGCGCCCGCAGCGCGGCCGGCGCGGCGAGGTCCGCTTCGTTTGGTGGCGGCGGCGGCGCCATGGCCGGTCCGTTGTCCCAACAAGGTCCAGTTCTTGGACTGGCTCCTAGAAGTCCTGAAGCTCTCGTCTTCTCCGCGTTTGATCGGTCCCTTTGCCTTTGGATCCTAGGCGAGACGGGGAGGTGATTTGTGGATGAAACTAAGCCCGATGGGGCGATGACGCCGTGTTAGCGAAATGGCGGAGGAAATCAGGAGGCGTGCTGAGGATTTGTTCGGCTCTGACAGTGATGCGCAAATTGATGTGCACGGTCGGGACTCGGGAAGGTGATGTTTCTGCATATGTGTCTTGCGGCCTGTGGTCGGCAAAGTGATTGATTATTTGGAGATGTTGATTACACCATCTAGGACACCACGTTTTCTCCCCCTAAACGTTTGAATCGTCCGCCCGCATTAGTGACAGACAATGAAATGACCCAACCGAACCCCATCATTCCTAACCTAAATGGAGGGTAGACTGGCCGGCACCCTCAAACTGAGACTAAATTTGGGGGCAATATGAGAGAATTGCCGACGTGCCGGGCGCGCTCTGACACCCCACTCCATGTCATACCCGTCCACACGATCCCACCTACAGCCACCCAATCCTCCTTCCTCTCTCATCTCTCTCGCGTGGAGCACGCAACAACATCGGCAGAGGAGGCGGTGCCTCGCGGCGACGACGGGTGGGCGGACGAGGCTACTGATGACAGAGTGGACGACAGCGAGGGAAGCGGCTTACGACCTTGCGTAGCCATCGCGTGTGCGTGCTGGCCGCAGCGCTTGCAGCCACAGTTGTGCTGACTGGCGCTGCAACTGCGTGGTGGCCACCATAGCCCCGTGATGGGGTGCGTGCTGGCGGTCATAGCCGCGGCCGCGTGCTCGCGTGCGTGCTGGCCACCGTGCCGCGTACGGGCCTTCAGGGCAACTCCAACGCACTACCTCATCTAGTCTGCAAGTGTCCGTATAGGCCCAAACGAACAGACGCCACGACCCAAAGCGCGGCCACATTCGCAAATTTTATCCGCTTCTCGTCCGGCCCGCCTCGTTTTTAGAGCAAAATTGCTCCTGGTTTGTGTCCATGCGGACGGGCACACGCTTGCTTCTCGTCCACCTCAGGTACGCGTGGCGGCCGTCCACCAGCCTCCACCGCCCAAAATAACTGCACACGCGCGGCGGGCCCCGGCTGCCCCGGTCACCGGTCAGTCCACATCTTCCACTCCGAGCCCGATTGCCTCCTCGAGCCCCAACACGAGCGAGCAAACCCTAGCCACCGCGCATCTCCTCTCATCCACCACCCCGTCGACGCCATGGGATGGCATTGGGTTGGCAAGGGGAAGATCGACCGTCGCCGCTCCCGCCTCCCACTGGATCTGCTCTACGACCGTAGGTACACCGTGGATTCGCCGATGTGGGATACGTGGCTCCACGACTAGCACGACCTGCGGCGGTAATCCTTTTTTTCCAGACGTCCTCCCAACCCGCCCCGGTCGCGTCCTGCTCGTGCTCAGAGCCTGCCCCATACACGCGGGCGTACGCGTGTGCGCGGCCTCACACCGACGCCGTCCCCGTCCCCGCCACCACCTCCCATGACCGAGGAGGAGGAGGCCGAGCTCACACTATAAAAAAAAGACACATCCGTGACATTATGGTCTGAATGAAAACTTTTTTCTGTCATGGTTATGACACTTCTATGACAATAATGGTGACAAAAACACGTATCATCATAGATGTAGGTGACCTTGTCTTGCTATACAAGCCTCGTTTAAGATTTTTTGTAATAAAGCTTCTCTCTAAATGGGAAGGTCCTTACATTATTGAGGAGGTTTATCGTTCTAGCGCCATCAAAATTAACAACGCCGAAGGCACTAACCCGAAGGTGGTAAACGGGCAAAGAATCAAACATTATATCTCAGATACTCCCATAAATGTTGAAACCAATATTATCAATATCATAACACTGGAGGAGTACATAAGGGAGACTTTCCTGAACGTTTCAGACTCCGAAAAGGAATAGGTATGTGGTACAGTAAGTAAACCGACTCCAAAACGTTTTCAATGGCAATTTTTCTCCGTTTTAGAATATTTAAAAAATTAGGAAAATTAGAAGTAATCCGAAGAGTGCACGAGGAGGCGACAAGGCAGGGGGCTGATACGTCTCCAACGTATCTATAATTTTTGATTGTTCCATGCTAATATATTATCCGTTTTGGATGTTTTATATGCATTAATATGCTATTTTATATTATTTTTGGGACTAACCTATTAACCTAGAGCCTAGTGCCAGTTTCCGTTTTAACTTGTTTTAGAGTTTCATAGAAAAGGAATACCAAATGGAGTCCAAACGAAATAAAACTTTCGCGGTGATTTTTCTTGGACCAGAAGACATCCAGAGGACTTGGAGTCCAATTCAGAGAAGCCATGAGGCGGCCACAAGGACGGAGGGCACGCCCCCCCACCCTTGTGGGCCCCTTGTGACTCCACCGACCTAGTTTCTTCGCCTATATATTCTCATATATCCCAAAACCAACAAAGAGAGCCACGAAAACACTTTTCCACCACCGCAACCTTTTGTACCCGTGAGATCCCATCTAGGGGCCTTTTCCGGCGTCCTGCCAGAGGGGGATTCGATCACGGAGGGCTTCTACATCAACACCATTGTCCTTCCGATGAAGCGTGAATAGTTTACCACAGACCTACGGGCCCATAGCTAGTAGCTAGATGGCTTCTTCTCTCTCTCTTTGATTCTCAATACCATGTTCTCCTTGATATTCTTGGAGATCTATTCGATGTAATACTTTTTTGTGGTGTGTTTGCCGAGATCCGATGAATTAGGGATTTATGATCAGCTTATCTATGAATATTATTTGAATCTTCTCTGAATTCTTATATGCATGATTTGATATCTTTGTGAGTCTCTTCGAACTATCGATTTGGTTTGGCCAACTAGATTGGTTTTTCTTGCAATGGGAGAAGTGCTTAGCTTTGGGTTCAATCTTGCGGTGTCCTTTCCCAGTGACAGTAGGGGCAGCAAGGTACGTATTGTATTGTTGCCATCGAGGATAAAAAGATGGGGTTTTCATCATATTGTTTGAGTTAGTTCCTCTACAGTATGTCATATTGCTTAATGCATTACCCCGTTCTTTATGAACTTAATACTCTAGATGCATGCTGGATAGCAGTAGATGTGTGGAGTAATAGTAGTAGATGCAGAATCGTTTCGGTCTACTTAACACATATGTGATGCCTATATTCATGATCATTGCCTTAGATATCATCATAACTTTGCGCTTTTCTATCAATTGCTCGGCAGTAATTTGTTCACCCACCATAATATTTTCTATCTTGAGAGAAGCCACTAGTGAAACCTACGGCCCCCGTGTCTATTTTCCATCATATAAGTTTCCGATCTACAATTTTAGTTTCCGATTTACTTCCTTTGCAATCTTTTATTTTCCGATCTATAAACCAAAAATACCAAAAATATTTACTTTACCATTTATCTATCTTCATTATATCTCACTTTTGCAAGTAACCATGAAGGGATTGACAACCCCTTTGTCGCGTTGGGTGCAAGTTGTTTGATTCTTTGTGCATGTATTTGGTGACTTGTTCGTTGTCTCCTACTGGATTGATACCTTGGTTCTCAAAACTGAGGGAAATACTTACTCTACTTTGCTGCATCACCCTTTCCTCTTCAAGGGAAAAACCAACGCAAGCTCAAGAAGTAGCAGGAAGAATTTCTGGCGCCGTTGCCGGGGAGATCTACGCCAAATCAAGACTCGTCGCCCGTCAACTTGCCAATTTCTGGCACCGTTGTCGGGAGATCTACGACAAGTCAAGACATACCAAGTACCCATCATAAACTCTCATCTCTTACATTACATTATTCGCCATTCGCCTCTCGTTTTCCTCTCCCCCACTTCTAAAACGATTTTCGAAAATATTTTCCTTTTCTTCGCCTCTCTTCCGTTCGTCTTCTTCGCTTGCTTTTTATGTTCTCGTGTGTTGGATTGTTTGCTTTGTCACGATGGCTCAAGAGAATACCAAATTGTGTGACTTTTCCAACACCAATAATAATGATTTTATTAGTACTCCGATTGCTCCTGCCAGTAATGCGGAATCTTGTGAAATTAATGCTGCTTTGTTGAATCTTGTTATGAAATATCAATTTTCCGGTCTTCCAAGTGAAGATGATGCATCCCATCTAAACAATTTCGTTGATTTGTGTGATATGAAAAAGAAAAAAGATGTGGATAATGATATCGTTAAATTGAAGCTATTTCCGTTCTCGCTTCGAGATCGTGCTAAAACTTGGTTTTCATCTTTGCCTAAAAATAGTATTGATTCATGAAATAAGTGTAAAGATGCTTTTATTTCCAAGCATTTTCCTCCCGCTAAGATCATCTCCCTTAGGAACGATATTATGAATTTTAAGCAACTTGATCATGAACATGTTGCACAATCTTGGGAGAGGATGAAATTGATCATACGAAATTTCCCTACGCATGGTTTGAATTTGTGGATGATTATACAATTTTTTTATGCTGGATTGAATTTTTCTTTTAGAAATCTTTTAGATTCGGCCGCGGGAGGTACTTTAGGGAAATTACTTTAGGAGAAGCTACTAAACTCCTAGATAATATTATGGTTAATTATTCTCAATGGTATACCGAAAGATCTTCCACTAGTAGAAAAGTGCATGCTATTGAAGAGATTAATGTTTTGAGTAGAAAGATGGATGGGCTTATGAAATTATTTGCTAGCAAGAGTGCTCCTATTGATCCTAATGATATGCCTTTGTCTACTTTGATTGAGAATAATAATGAATCTATGGATGTGAATTTTGTTGGTAGGAACAATTTTGGTAATAACACGTATAGAGGTAATTTTAATCCTAGGCCGTTTCCTAGTAATTCCTCTAATAATTATGGCAATTCCTACAAAAATTCTTATGGAAATTATAATAATATGCCCTCTAATTTTGAGGATAGTGTTAAAGAATTTATGAGTTCGCAAAAGAATT